AAAAAAAAAAAAAAAAAAAAAACCGCCCTGTATCACAGTGACGTGACAGACACGCCCCACCACTGTCCTAGGGAAGAGATAGTGCAGGGAACTCCCTGGAATATTGTGCTGAGATTTCAGACTGTTCTGTATTAGACACATGTGTACGTGAGCTGTGGCTCTGTCCTCCCTCCCGGGTGACAGGGTGAGTGAGGGGCAGATGGGCAGACACAGGGTGGCTGCTCACTGAACTAGGAGTTCACGGGTGAGGGTCACGTCCTCTGGGAAAGCTACACTTACACGATCGGAAAGGATTTTTTATTTACACAGTGGATGGTGAGTCAGGAAATTCAGTTCCAAAGTGTAGGTTGAAACTGTAAAACATTGCACAGAGTCAGAAGTGACTTGAATAAATAATTAAGAGATAGGCTAATAATTGGTTTAGAAGAAAGCAGTATTAAGCAAGTAATGATGAGTGGTAAATGACAACATGCTCTTCTTCGTAGGGAAAGAAAAGAATTCTTCATTGAAATGGGCCTTTTACAAGGGATTTATTCACTAAAATGGGCAGATGAGTCTCACAATAAGAGACACAAATGGCCAATAAATATATGAAAAGAATGCTCAATATTTTAGCCATCTGGGAAATGCCAACGAAATTTTTATTGAGGTTTCACCCCACCCTAGTCAGAATGGCTACTATAAAAAATAAAATAAATCCTGGCAGGGATTGCCGATAAAGGAACCAGTGTACATGGGTGGTGGGAAGGTAACTTGGTGCAGTCACCATGGAAACCAATGTGGGAGTTCCTTAAACATCGGAAAAACAGAACTACCACATGATCAAAAGGAAATAAAGCCAGAACACAAGACAGATAGCTGTATCCTCATATTTATTGTGGCACCATCCCCTGAGCCAAGGTATGGAACTACCCTAGATGAATGGGTAGAGAAAATACAGTATATATATATATTTTTTTTCATGATGGAGTATTACTCAGCCATAAAGAATGAAATCATATGATTTTCAAGAAAATGGTTGGAACTGGAGGGCATCAGGTTAAGCAAAATTAGCCACAGAAAGATAAGGATCACAAGTTTTCTCTCACATGTGAAAATGTTAAAAACAACAACAAAGATGACCTCAAACTAGAAGAGGGACTTTAAGGAAAGGAGAAAAGGGAGGAAGAGAAGAGGAAAGGCTGAGACAGGATTGTAGGTGTATATGATCAAAGCAGGACATATTCGCAGGTAGGGCACAGTGATCTATACATTAATATGACTGAATAATTATAATTTAAAAATACACATTGTTTTTAAAGAAAAGTAATTAAATGGGCTCTTCACCTTTCCTTTACCGGATATCCAGGAAAAGAACAAGGCACCCCATTCCCAGGCCTGCACCCCTTACCTCCGCAGGCTGCCTCTCTCCCTCCTGCCAGACGTAGCCCATGGTGACGGCGCTCAGCACCAGGTGGGCCAGACGCAGCTGGTGGTGGCCATGGAGAAGGCTGCAGCTGAGGAGGGGCATCTGCCGGAAGGGGTGGGAGTTACGGCCGGAAGGGGTGGGGTTACAGGTGGAGGCGGGGAGGGCCGGGCTCTGTGCCTGCCGGCTGTCCCCGGC